TTGAAAGGAACTGTGGGCCGAGAGGCTGTGGTAGGCACAAGGGTGGGTCTTGGCCCATCCTCCGTGGCCCCCGGTCCCCTGTCTGCTGGCAGCCCCGTTCCCACCACCGCTGCTCCTGCACGCTGCCAGCACTGGCCCTGCTCCCACCCGCTGATGACGCTGAGTGATTGGGGCCGGCGCCAGCAGCAGGTGCGAGTGGGGCTGGCACTGTCAGCAGGTGCAAGTGGCAGCTGCTGCCCCAGTGGCCCCCTCAGGAGCAGGAGAAGCCCTCAGGGGCAATCAGGGCCGGCAGCTGCTGCTCACACCTGCTGATGGAGTTGAGTGATCGGGACTGGCGCCGGGCACTGGCAGCAGGTGCGAGCGGCAGCTCCGGTGCTGGCTACGGGTGTGAGCGGGGCCGGTGCTGGCAGTGGGTGCGAGCAGCAGCTCCAGCGCCAGCAGCGGGTGCGAGTGGGGCCGGCACCGCAGGTGCGAGTGCCAGGCAGGACCGTGGCACGGGAGCAAAGAATTTTCAGTAACCACCAGAGGCTCGCCCCAATGACAGTGACTGGCACCCCACCTTGGTCTGGCACCCCCACTCACCTGCTCCACCATCCCGCTGTGGCCAACGCCTGCCATGTTCCGCACACACTCTCTGGTGGTCAGCGCACGTCATAACGACTGGTTGTTCGGTTGTTCTGGTTCCGCCGTTTGGTCTATTTGCATATTAGCCTTTTATTATATAGGATTAGAAAAACAATTTAAATTAAATTTGTTGAGGAAATATTTACATAAAATAATATATACCTATTTTAAATGTTCAGTTTTGGTGAGTTCTGATAAATAGAGACACATGTAACCACCACCATAATAAAAATATAGAACCATCTCCATCATGCCAGAAAGTCCACACATATTCCTGCAATCACTTTCCCTTCCACTGATGTGTTTTCTGTCATAGACTGGAGCTGTTTTTCTAGAATTCCAAATAAATAGAATCAGACACTATGGCTCTTGTGTCTGGTTTCTTTCACTTAGTATAATGTTTGAGAGTCACTGATATTTTGATAGCAGTGGTTAGCTCCTGTTTATTGCTCAGTTGATACCACAATGTGCTTATCCATTCCCCTGTTGGTGGACCATTGAGCTGTTTCTAGTTTTTGGCTATAAGGAATAAAACTGCTTGGAAGATTTGTGTGTAAGTCTTTGTGTGAACATATCTTTTTAATTCTCATTCCTAAATATCTAGGAATGGAATGACTAGGTTATGTGGTCAGTATATTTTTAACTTGGTGAAAAACTGCCAAATTGTTTTCCAAAATGCTATCATTTTATATTCCCACCCTCAAAATTTCAAGGCACCAGTTGCTCTACATCCTTACCAATGCTTGGTAATTTTTGCCATTCTTCTGAGTGTGTGTATCACATTGTGATTTTACTATTTAATTGTATAGTTTGATGGGATTTGACAAATATATCTTCTGTATATATAAAAGGCTAAGCCACTGGGCAGTAGGTATGACACGCAGTGACCACCAGGGAGGCAGACTTTCAATGTAGGAGCTGCTGAGCTGCAGTGACTTGGCAGCGGTGGTTCTCGAGTGATGCACCCCAGAACCAGAGAGGAGGGAGCTCAATTCCTCTCAGGGCCACGCGATTCCACCTTCGGCTGAGGGTTATGTTGTTGCTGGGGCACTGTCGGCCCCGAATCTGGTTTACTGCACACTTGTGTTCCCGTTCCACACCCTGTACGACAGCAACTTTGCAGAGTGCCCTCTCGCACCCCGGGACCCTTCGAGGGATGTCGGAGAGCGGGTTTCGGCCCGATCCCACAGGCCTGGTTGAGGGACCCCACAAATGCCTTTGAGCTGTGGCGCCGCCACAGATGCTGCCGGCCTGGGAGGGACTGCGGGAGTTTGGCTCCAGGGTGTGTCCAGCTCGTTTCGCCCATTCCCACCCCGTCGGCCACCTTCTAATTAATTTCCTTTCAATGTGCACAAATCCGTGCACAGGGTCACGGATTAGTGTGTGTGTGTGTGTGTGTGTGTGTGTGCACGTGTGTGTATATATATATATATCACCCCCACACACACACACACACACACACAACCATTACAGTCAAGATGTGTTTCACCACCCTAAAAGTTCTATCATGCCCTTTTCAGTTAATCCCCCATACCTCTGTCCCTAAACAATCATTGATCTGCCTTCAGTGACTACAGATAGTTTGGCTTTTCTAGAATTTCATATGGAATCATACAGTATGTACTCTTTTGTATTTGGTCACTTGCTTAGCATGTTGTTTTTGAAACTTATCCATGTGGTTGTGTGTGTCTTTAGTTTCTTTTATTGCTGATTAGAATTGCATTGATGGATATATGTATATTTAAAAATATTATCTATTGATAGACATTTGAATCGTTTCCAGTTTGGAGCTATTACAGATAAAATTGCTGTTAACATTTAAATGCATGTGTTTGTGAGGACATATGTTTTCATTTCTCATGGGGAACTATTTAGGAGCGGAATGGATAGTTTATATGGTAAATAAATGCATGTTTATTATAAAAAGTTGGCAAACTGTTTTCTGTGGTGGTACCATTTTAAGAAAGTTCCAGATCTTTGTTGACATTTAGAATTGTCAGTCTTTTAAATTTTATCCATTCTAATATGTGTGTACTAGTAGTTCATTCTGATTTTAATTAGTATTTCCATGTTGACTACTTTGTTCAGGATATTCTTGTGTGCGTGTGGGCTATTGGTATATCTTCTCTTATGAACCATTTACACAAATCTTTTGTCCATTTTTATATTGGGTTATCTTATTTCTGGTTGTAAGACTTCATATTCTACACACAAGCCCCTTTTCAGATATTTCTTTTGTGAATATATTCTCTGAGTCTTTGGCTTGGCTTTTCATTTTCTTAACAATGTTTTCAAAGAGCAAAAGTTTTTTGTTTTTTTTCCTTAATTAAATCTTTATTGTTCAGATTATTACATTTGTTCCTCTTTTTTCCCCCCATAACTCCCCTCCTCCCAGTTCCCGCCCCATCATCCGCCCTCACTCCCCACCCACTAGCCTCATCCATAGGTGCACGATTTTGGTACAGTCTCTTCCCGCATCTCCCACACCCCTTCCCCCCCCAAGAATAGTCAGTCCATTCCCTTTCTATGTCCCTGATTCTATTATGATCACCAGATTATTTATTCACTTGATTCTTAGATTCACTTGTTGATAGATGCATGTTTGTTGTTCATAATTTGTATCTTTACCTTTTTCTTCTTCTTCCTCTTCTTAAAGGATACCTTTCAGCATTTCATATAATCCTGGTTTGGTGGTGATGAACTCCTTTAGCTTTTCCTTATCTGTGAAGCTCTTTATCTGACCTTCAGTTCTGAATGATAGCTTTTCTGGATAAAGTAATCTTGGTTGTAGGTTCTTGCTATTCATCACTTTGAATATTTCTTGCCATTCGCTTCTGGCCTGCAAAGTTTCTGTTGAGAAATCAGCTGACAGTCGTATGGGTATTCCCTTGTAGGTAACTGAGTTTCTTTCTCTTGCTGCTCTTAAGAGTCTCTCTTTGTCTTTTGCTCTTGGCATTTTAATTATGATGTGTCTTGGTGTGGTCCTCTTTGGATTCCTTTTGTTTGGGGTTCTCTGTGCTTCCTGGACTTGTAAGTCTATTTCTTTCACCAGGTAGGGGAAGTTTTCTGTCATTATTTCTTCAAATAGGTTTTCAGTATCTTGCTGTCTCTCATCTTCTGGCACCCCTCTAATTCTGATGTTGGTATGCTTGAAGCTGTCCCAGAGGCTCCTTACACTATCTTCATATTTTCGGATTCTTTTTTCATTTTGCTTTTCCGGTTGGGTGTTTTTAGCTTCTTCGCATTTCAAATCTTTGCCTTGATTCTTGAGACCCTCTGGTCTGCTGTTGGGAGTCTGTATAATATTCGTTATTTCAGTCTGTGTATGTTTAATTTCTAGTTGGTTCTTTATCATAACATCGAGGGTCTCATTAGATTTGTTGAGGATCTCATTAAGTTTATCAGCGGCTTCTAGACAGTTCTTGAGAGACCTTAAAAGTGTGGTTCTGAACTGAATATCCTCCATTGACAGTTTTGTCCTATTTCTTTGTCTCCGCATTTTTTATGCTTTCTTGGTGCACCCCCTAGTGGTCTTTGTGTGCAGTCCTCCTGTAGTTAAGCCTTGATTGTTGTAGTTAATACTAGGGGGATTTGACCTCCAGGCCAGCTGGCTGTGAGAATCAGCTGTGTCTGCAGTGGGAAAACTTCTGTCCTCTAGGGAGGTGCTAATCTAGCCTTTGCCTGAGGCCATCTGGCAAATGGCTCTGCGCAGGGCTTGGGCGGGGCGGGTGGGTCGCTCAGGCTCGGGATCAACAGGGTGGGCCGGAGAGAGCAGTTATGGCGGCTCTCAGTTCCGTCCCTAGGGGCTCTGCCTCACAGAGTCCCAGCAACCGCTGCAAACCTCGGAGAGAAAGCTGCCTTCGAGTTCCAACTGAAGCCAGACAGTCCCGCTTCTCCCATTTGAGTCTGGGTCCCTAGAGACTCGCCCGGATCTGGAGCTCAGAATCTGAGACTCCCTCCCGATTGAAAACAACAACCGCGCCCTCCGCCGCCAGCCCCGCTCCGCGCACACTCCGCACCTCAGTATTTCACTTCAGCACTGCGCCTCCTCTGAGTCTGGGTATGATATTCTCTTTCCTCCTAGTTGTAGAATTTCCACTCAGCCAGCCTTCCTGTGGTTCTGGATGATGTCCGTCCCGTCTTTTAGGTGTGTTTTGATTTGGTTGTTCAAGGCAGCAATCTCCGGCGTTAACCTATGCCGCCATCTTGGTTCTCCTCACAAAAGTTTTTAATTTAATGATGTCCACAATATTAAGTTTTTCTCTGATAGTTCAGGTTTTTTTTTATGTCTGTCTACCCCATTGTTGCAAAGCTTTTCTCCTAGGATTTCTTTTATAAGTTTTTTACTGTTAGCTTCTACTTTAAGGTCTGTGATCAGTTTTTGTATAGGGTATGAGATAGAGATGAGGGTCTTTTTTTTTTTTTCCTAAATGTATTTCCAGTTGTTCCAGTCATTTACTGAAAAGACTTTCCTTGATTAAATCACCTGTGTACTTTGTTGAAAATCAACTGACCATATAATGCGGACCTAAAATTTTAGACTCTATTCTATTCCATTCAGATATATGTCTGTCTTTATTCCAGTACCACACTGTCTTGGCTTTGTAGTCATTCTTAAACTCAGGTATTCTATCAAGTCCTCTAGGTCTTCAGATTTTATTCTTTTCAAACTGTTTTCCATCCCAGATCCTGTTGAGCAATAGAGTTGGGAGTTGATGTTTTAGTTTAGAGTGTAGCGGCAGAGCGGGAAGAGTGCAGTAGGCTCAAGCAATGATAACTGTTATTCTCTATTGATACTGTCAACGTATTCCTGAGGTATAGGTGGCCTGTCCTCTATTTCTACACAGTAAGTTGTCCTCAAATAAGTGTTTCAAGAGAAAGCCTGTTAACCATAGGTAGACATTGTATAATTTTAAACAAGGTATTTTATCCTTCCCTAGCAATCAGTTGCATACAGTTTTGGTCTAAGTATTTTCTTTTGTATTCCACCAGAATCTTGAGCTGAATGATGATACTGTTCTAAATGAGATAAAGTTAGCAGATAGTGAACAGTATCAGATGCCCAACCTGTGTGCCGAAGAGCTGGCTGTTATCCTTGGAATCTGGTAAGTTAATGACCTGCTTGGCTACATTGAACACCTTGCATGTGGGTTCTCTTGTGTTGGGGAAATCTTTATTCAGGAGGTCCCAAGAGTTCTGGGTGAAGAGGGAATCTTGTAATGCTGCTCAAGATCCAGAATAATTGGGTAACCCAATCAAAAGGTTAGAGATTAGAGACCTCAGGAATCTCCTGGGAGTTGGTATTCTCATCCTTCTCCTCCCTTCATAAGCAAAATTTCTTTGGTTAGCTTTAGCTAGAAATAGACTCTTAATAAAATATTTAGCATAGGTGAGAGTGAGTATTTTGAACTCTGGGGATATTTATATCTCAAAAGGTAGACTTATTTTTGAATACTGTAGAACCTTATGTGTGGTGGAAATAGTTTTTTCTTTTATTTTTCTATTTTTTTCTATTTTTAAGTAATTTCACATTTGGAAAAAAGTTGCCAGGGCAAGGCATTGCAAAGAATTTAAGAGAATCATCTTCAAACATGATACTCTAACACTGGAGTACTTTAGTGTGTGATTCCTGCAAGCAAGCGTACTTTTGTACATTGTCACAATACAGTTCTCAAAATCAGGAAAATAACATTCATACTTACTCTCCTTTAATACTCAGATTCCATTCAAGTTTGCCAGGGTCCCAGGAACCTCCTCTGTGGCATGGGAGCCTGTCTAGATGTGCGTTGCAGTTAGTTGTTATCTCCTTAGTTTCAGCCAGTCTGGAACAGTTGCTCAGTTTTGCTTGGCTTTCATGATATTAACACTTTTGAAACTTAAAAGCCACTTATTTTGTAGACATTCCCCCAGTTCCTTTTTTTCCTAGTAAAATAAATTAGGTTGACATTTAGTACACTAAGCACATTTTGTCAGTATTTTACTACTTTCTGTACTTATCTTTGGCAAACTCCTATCTGCATTTGTATATAATGTAGTAATATTAAAATATGTGCTTTCAAATATATGAAACAAGTTTACTTTGTCTTTCAAAAATTATATTTCATTAGACGCAACATGCATTTTAGGAGTAATTTATCTTTTTTTAATTTAAAGCACAAATATGCAAAAGAATAACCCAGTGCATAAGTTAACTGAAGAGGAGTTGCTGGCATTTACATCGGTGAGTAATGTCTTCCTTCTTTCCATTTTCTTTTCTTATAGATTGTTTTGCCTCTGGTACATTCTTGCCTCAAATTGCTCACCTTGGGACACTGCCACTTAAGGAAAGTAAGGGAACAAAAACTCATCATTTTAGTTTCCAAACTGCACCTATCTTACTGCTGATTTAAACATAAGTATTTTTCTTTGTGCTTGCTTGACTTTAAGGGCAGTGACCAAATATTTCTTGTTCATTATTGTTCCCAGAGCATTACACAGAATAGGTGCTCAATAGATACTGAAATAGGTGCTCAATGTTGAATGAATGAATGAAGTGACAGAGCAAAAGTTTGAATTTTCACTCCAAAGCCTACCTAGTATACAGCTCTGTTGTAAAAACCAGGGTATTGCCTACCTGGGTGTGATGAGTAGAGGATTTCAGGGAGCTAGGAGCCAAACCAGGAGAGCATGGGCTATAGAGGCTGGGGAGGGAGGTGGTGGCGAGCATGAGGGGTGCTTGCCAGCATTCAAGGGTGTAGAGAGTCAGGAGAAAAGGCTGTGGGCTTTGATAATTGGAGTGCATTACTTATCTCTAAGGACAGTTTCAGTGGACTATCTGGGTAGTCATTCTAGAGAATTAAGGAGGGAATGGGGTATGAGAAAACAAAGTTGATAAAGACCACAGTTGGGAGAAAATGGCAGTGAAAAGGAAAGAGCAATAGATGTTTGAGGATTTGAGATCAAAGAAGGCTTTTCAAGAAGGGAAAGATCGCAGATGAAGGGGTCACTCAGTATCTTTTTAGCTTTAGGGAGAGAAAGAGGATACGCACATTTTTAATGAACACAAGCCTCTTAAGATACATAATTTTTTTTCAAAGACATTTTTATATCATGGTTGAGACTCATGCTAGAATTCTAAAGTTTTATTCCTTTAGTTATTTTTCAGATAAGGCAAAAATAAAGTATTTTATCTGGTAGAAAGAAAAGCTTGCTTACTTTGTACTGTAATATAAATTTTGCAAGTAACTGTTTTCTACATATTGCTTTGGAACTGGTTGGATGTTAATCCTTTGAGTCCTCGGGGTGCCCTTTTTATTTTCCCACTTATTAGAAATCTTTGGTATTTATCATATAGCATGTCTGTGTTTAGATTACTATGTAAAAATCTCCTTATTTACTTGTTACATATGCTATCAGGAATTTGACAAGTAAAGTGTTACAAACATTTTTAAAAAGATACATTAAAATTATTATGCACTTCCCATCTATTTATGCAGCTAATATTTATTGAAAACTTGATATGTGCTAGGTATTGTGCTGGTCATCAGGGATTTAGCAGTGAACAGTCTTCTAAGAGTTTACATCAGTTTATATTCTTGTGGGGGAAATACACAGTAGACAAAGAGAGAAATACATACTTAATAGAATTGCACAGGAGAAATATAAAGCAGGGTAAGGGGATAAAAATGGGACCTGGATGGTAGTGTTAGACAAGGTGGCAGGGAAGGTCTCAATGAGAAGATGCTGTTGAACCTCACGTCAGCATGAAGTGAGGCCCAGGGCAGGATGCGGGGCTCTGGAACAGTGCTGAGCTTGAGTCAGTGTAAGGCAGTACAGAGCTGGAGGGGGACAAGTGTTGATAAATGATGACTAGGACTCTTGGGTTTCTTCTGATGACCGAGGTAAACAGGATGTAGCATATGATAGAAAGTGTTCCTGCTGGCCTCTCTTGGGGAGGATGGTTGGTAGCAACATCCTCTCAGGTCTGGTCTCAGAAGCAGTTTATTGTGGAACATATATCATCCATAGTTATCCTGAAAAGACATTAAAATACTCTATTTCCATTCAAACATTTAATTTTCTTTTTAGCTTTTCTTGGGGTTGGAGTATATTTCTTCTCTTTTAAACGTTTCTTTTTCTACTTCTTTTGTGATTCTCTATTATTATAATATTTTATTTCTTTTCCCATTGTTCCTCTAAATTGTGAGGTGCTTCTGAAGATAACTGTTGGGATCCAGCCCCAGTAGGTCCAGGGGTTCCCAAAGGTGTGGACGGAGTCGGCGAAGAAGGAATGACATAGAGACAGCAGTGTTCAGATGATCAGCATAGCCAGGCTCTCTAGCCAGGTTCTCCAGCCAGGTTCTCCAGCCAGGTTCTGTCTTTATTGTCCTGTTACATCTGTATTTATACCAGTTGATTTTAATCCTATCCATTATATTCCAAAGGTTAGGGCGTTTGTTAATCTAGTTCTGTTGAGTTTAATCCTGTCTAGGTTAATCTCTGTGTTCCATTATAAGGGCTATTCCAAGGTCACTGCTCTACTGATAAGCTACAAGGAAGTGACTGAAGGAGATTATCCTACCCAGTAAAGGTTATGTCCTCCCAGTCTCGTTGCTTGCCTTCCCTGGGACTGCCCTGTGTCGGTGAGTCTCCAGGGGTATAGGCTTTGGTGCTTTCCCTGGTGGGCAGACCCCTGGGGATGTGGGCCCAACGAGTCCCAAATTTATTGTCAACAGTCTTAGTCCAAGTTCTTCATAAGTAGTACATGGTATTTCTGTAACACTAGGGGGTTTCACTGATTTATTCTCTTCCTTAGCCCTGTTAATCCCTAACTCCAGGGAAAAAAATCCCCATCTGGGGAAACAACCTTTCTTGGAGAGGTGACCTTGGTTAAAACACATAGCGCTAAGAAGGGGAGCAAACATATTAAGAACAGTATGCCATATACACCAGGTCCCTTGAAACATATGCTGTGCAGATGTTTCTTCCCTGCAGTGACTGTGTCAAGCAGCAAGGATGGACCGGCTTCCGGCAGATAACTTCTGATGCTCATTAACTCATCCTTCCGGGCTTGCAGTGAAGGTCAAGGTCATCAATTCAAGTTTCATACTATTCCCTTAAGGGTTTTGTAACACACGCACACATACATATATTTTGTTCTCTCTCCTCCTCAAGGTCATTGCCAAATCAGAACTGACCCAAGGACTGATTTCCTTTTGGAGGAAAGCTATTTGATCACAGTGCTTCCTAGTGCTAGGCCTAAAGAGATGAGTGTGTGAATCCCAGGTAAATCTGTAATTGGTAAGAAGTAGGGCAAGGAACTTATGTGTGAGGAGAGCTTTTAGGAGCCCATATGTACTTTGGGCTCTATACCACCTCATTCTTTTTTTAATCCCAAAGAAAGTACACAGAATACAGCAGAAAAACCCATATCAGCCCTTGTCAACTCTTCCTTCATCTATCAGTACTTCCTCTTATCCCTGCTTTGTACATGATACTGCACTGATAATACTGAATTTGAAGTGGCTCCTGGTATTAATGAAGAGTTTCATTGATATTGATATCTTATATAACTACATATCCTTATATAAATATCTTTTATTTGTAATCTATTATTTATGACTCCAAAAGAGTATTTGAGGTAAGAGGGAACTCTTTTAGGTGCTACCCCACTTCTGAACTCGTAAACTTTTGTCTGTGCTTCTCTTTGAGCAAGAATCATCTTTGGGCTTACATTATAATTACTTATGTATATGTTCTATCTTCCCCATAAGACTATAAACTCCCAGTTTTAGTGTCTGGGTTCTATTCTTCTCTGGGTCTTCTACAAGGCCTGGAACTATGCTTCAAGGCTTTACTCATAGTTGTTACTCAATAAATGTATGGAAAAGGCTAAAGTGCAGGAGCCCAAATCTCAGGCATGTACCCTGACAGGGAATGGAACTGGCAACCTTTTGGCGCATGGGATGATGCCCAACCAGCTGAGCCACACTGGCCGGACTATAGGAATAGGATTTTTAAGTGGATAAGACCTGTTTGGAATTGGCCATAGATGTGGAAGAGAAGGGGACAGAGAGGAAAGAAGTAGCATCCCCTTTCTTGCTGGGCAGCCATTACCCGCTCTGTAGCAGTGTTGGCGGCCTGGGACTGGGGTTGTGAACTACTGAGATTATGAGGTGTCTTCCTTTGCTGATAGAAGAGCAAGTACAACAGAAGTCTTAATACTCCCACCAGATACTTTTGTAAACATTAGAGGGACAGGACATGGTTATTGGATATTTGGTAAATATTTATTGAATAAACAAATGAATGGATTATTGGTCCTGAATTTCATTCAGTTTTAATGAGCTGTCCTAAAGTTTAATACAATGATTTCATTCAATTTTAATGAACTGTCCTAAAGTTTATTACAATGTGATCTCTTTTTTGGAGAAGTTTTTGCCAATGTTTTCATGTTGCTGCAGCATGATGAAATATATGTGAGATGTGTTGGGAAAATGTTTTAATTCAACAGTGTCAGAAGTTTGTCTTAAAAGGAATACTTTATTTTTTTTTTTAGTTGTCATTATGTAGTGCTATTCCTGAGATATATCCGCACGTTTCAGGAAAACTGAATGAGTCATAGTAAAAATAACCCAATCTGTATTAGAGAGACTTTATGTCGTATCGGCTTGATAATTTAAAATTAGCTGTTATCTACGTTATTTCCTTTCAGATGAGCCAAGTCAGTTACATTCAGTAATGCTTTTAATTTCCTCTCATTGTTGAAAATGGGAACAATTTTGTTAATTCAGACAGATGTTTCAGTTTTAATTGGCAAAAGTTTTGCTTAAGTGTGAATTGATATTGGCAGCCTGCCCTCTGACTGTCTGCCCAAAACCCCAAGGTCACTGGAAATGAAAAAAGGAAAAAGAAAGGTCTTTGGAAGTTGCACATTACCTTCTATGTATTTTCTCTTTCTGCTAATAATTTTAAACCTATTAATAAATACTTATGAACATAAAATAGTTTGCGAACCACTTTTACAGATTTAAATGATCACCTATTTATTTTTCTAGAGCATATTTATTTCTTAATTTTAATTTTTTAAGGTAGGTGATACAACTTTGTAGGATAGCCACAACACTTCCGATAGTTTGTGTTAGCATTACATGATGACATGTTCTGTATTAAGTGGCACAGTTCAGAATTTTGATTTTATTTGTGGTTTGAATGCTTGTCTTCCAAAATGTTACTCTGTGTATTTAAATTTAATAGGCATTTATTGATAATGATCCTCAGCAATTGACTGAGCAAGTAGACAAAGACAATTAGTAAATACATAGATAATTTGGACAATACTACCAGCCAGCTTGACCTGGTTGGTATTTATAGAATAGTGCACTCATAGTACAGTCATCCCTAGGTGTCTGCCAGGGATTGGTTCCAGGGTCCTCCATGGATACCAAAATCTGCAGATGCTCAAGGCCTTTATGTAAAATAAAATAGTATTTTTATATAACTTACACACATCATCTTGTATACTTAAATCATCTCCAGATTACTTATAATACCTGATAGAATATAAATGCTGTGGAAGTAGTTATTATACAGTATTGTTTAGGGAATAATAACAAGAAAAGTAAGTCTGTAAATGTTCAGTATAGACACAACCCTCATAGACATAACTACATGTTAGAAGTCAGCAACAACATAACATTTTTTAGAACCCCAAACAAAAGGAATCCAAAGAG